ACTCGACACTTACTAGCTGTGTGACCCTGGGTAAGTCATTTAATCCCGATCACCTCACCAAAAAGAAAAAAAAAATCTCCTGATTGGTTTCAGGTCTCATCCTCTACAAAGCTACCAACATGATATGGCTAGGCAGCTAGATGATGTATTGTGGGACCTGAGGTTAAGAGTTCAAATCCACCCTCAATTTATTAGCTGCGTGACAATGGGCAAGTCATAGCTCACCTCAGTTTCCTCATCTGTAAAATGGTGATAAACAATACCTCCTAGGGTCATTGTGAGGATCAAAATATAATAATTATACAGTACTTAGCACAGTGCCTGGTAAGTGGTAAGTGCTATTTAAATGTTAGGTATCATCACTATCAGCATCACCATCATCTTCATATTCCTAGAGCACATAGTCACTTCTCTTCTCAAAATCCTCTAATGACTCCTTACTGCCCATAGCACAAAATACAGCCTCCTCTGGTTGATATTTAAAGCCTGTTGCCATCTTGCTCTAAGACTTACTGTACATTACTCCCCTCACTCCAGGTTCCAATCAAGCTGCTTTTCCTGCTATTCCTCATACATGCCATTCCGATTCTTTTCTCTAATCTCTTGCACAGCTCCTCTCCCATACCTGGAAGCAACTCCCTAATCCCTTCCACCAATTAGTATTCTTACCATCCTTCAAAGCTCAACTCAATTGCTACTTGCTACAATGAAGCATTTCTGATCCCCAAATCACTAGAGCTCAGCATCCACTCCTGAAATTACTTTGTATTTGCTTAGCTCTTTATACGTTTCTGTGATAGAATGCCACTCCCTGAGGGCACAGACTGTTTACTTTTTGCCGTTCTATCCCCAACATCTCCCACATTGCTGGGACTAGTGAATTCTTAAATAAATGCCTATTGATTGACTGACTGACTTTAGAGATGAGGTATCCCAATCTCCTTATTAGATAGATGGGAAAATGGAAATCTGGAGAAGTAAGGCACCAAGTCTTGAGTATATTGCTCATGAGAGCATAAAATTTAGACTGGAACTCAGGTCTCATTTCTCTCTGCCTGATGATCTTTCCTCTGGACTAGGGTATTGGAGGGAAGGAGCTGGTAAGGAGGGAAGAGAAAGAGATGTTGGCTTTTCCTGTGACCTAAATGAAGTATGATGTGAAGGGCACTGGTCCTCGAACCAGGACAGATCCCTGGAGTTTTCCACTAGACAACCTTCTCCAGGTTGATGCTGACCTGTTAATTCCAATGCTTTGGGCACAGTCCTAGCCTGCAGTCCACATCCCTCCATCTTGACCATGAGGATAATAGACTTTGCTGGAATCTTGGTAAACCACGTGTGAGAAACACCATGGTAATTTTGCAAAGAGGGCTGGATTCAAAATAAGGAGAAACCCGAGTAGGAATACCACCTCTGACACTTAACAGTTGTGAGTTACTAAGGCCTTAGTTTTCTCATCCACAAAATGGTAATGCAAGGAAGGGCTGTGGTAAGGATCAAGGAGAAAAAAACGACTTAAAGCAGCAGATAAATGTCAGCTTTTCTAAGCGCACATAGCAAACTTTCCATGGAAAAGGTATTGGCAGAATTTCGTAGCTGATTCCCAACAACCCGTCTTCTCAATCACACAACTGACAATTGACTGAGAGGTGTAGAGAATATGTTTCCCCTGTGCCTATTTCTGTTGATTTTTTAAAAAAGCATTTAACTCAAGAAGAATGCTGTTCAGTCTTAAATGCCCTTGTCAGACTGGGTATCCTCTATTCATATATTAAGGTCATCCCACATGCCATGATGTATGACAGGGGGCAATGAACTTAACTTTGTTCAGTAATCTGTTGAACGTTGGCATGAAGGGACATAAAACAGGGAGACACACACACTTACCTCTGGCGTTTGCCAGAGTCATGCAGAATGATGACCCATGGGGAATCCAAACAAAAGAAGAATGATTAGAGATTTAAAGCTGAGAAGGACTTTGTACATCATCTGGTACAATGTCCTTTATAAAGTAAGGAAGAAACTAAGGATCTGAGAGGTTTGGTAATCCATACAAGGTCACACAGTTAATTAAGTAGCACCTTCAAACCCAGAACCTCTAGCTTCAGATCTCATACTCTATAAATTTGTTGTTGAGTTGTGTCTGACTCTTCATGATCCCATTGTGGGGTTCTCCTAGTTTGCCTTTTCTTTTCCAGCTCGTTTGACAGATGAGGAAACGGACGCAAGCAGGGTTAAGTGACTTGCCCAGGGTCACACAGTTAGTAAGTTTCTGAGGCCACATTTGAACTCAGGTCTTTCTGACTCCAGGCCTGGTATACCAACTGGCTGCCCACTTATACTCCATATACTTTACTAAATTCAATTGATGCTAAGCCTCTCTAGATCCTTCCATTTGCATGTGACATTGTATAAATCGGATCAAATCCCAGTACACTAAAAAGTCTTCTCGGTGAAATCTATATCAATGTGAAAGATATTTCTAGTAGTCCATAGTAGACAAACAAATTGGATGAAAAATGCATGTTATCTAGAAATGATATCCAGCTAGCCCATTGGTTGAGCAGCAGAAGGAGATTGGGTCAGATACTATTCAATGATTCCAAATGCCCCCCAAAGCCCATCTCTTTAACACCAACAGTCTCTCAAAGTAGATATGCATATGTATATATTGTATGTATGTGACAGTGAATGTTTTTGTAAGTAAAGACAATATGGTACAAAGAAAGGATCTCTGGATTAAAATCAGTGGTGCTCTGGTGAAAGTTTAATAACTGGCTCTCTGGAAAAATGTGCATGGGGTACATTTTTCATCTTAATCTGCATTATTAAAATATTTTCCATTACTTTCTTAAGTCTAGAAAGTCAACAAAATGAGAAATCAAACCATGATTTGTAGTATTTGCCAAATTTCTAAGGTGTAAATGCTTACACTAAAAAATTTAATAACTACCTCTTATAAGCTGATGTGAGCTGGCTTCAGCATAACCCTCTGGCTGCCTCTGGCACTCCCTGTGTGACCCTGAGCAAGTCACCTACCCTCCTTCAGCCTCTGTAACATGAGGAGGTTGCACCAGATGGTCCCTGAGGTTCTTACTAGTTCTAGAACTTGGAGCCTAACAGACGTGTGTGAGCCAATCGCCATAGAGGGGTATAGTCATTATTTTGGCCCTTGCAGATAAGTAGCATGCTATAGCCAGGCTGGAATTTTTGATCAGTGTCCTGGCCACTTCCCTAAGGCCTCCATGAGGCCTTTTCCTGGTTCTCTCTAGTTGATAGTTCCTCCCTGCTTTCTCTCCCTGACAAAGTGCCTTGTGTTTCCTTTATATGTATTTATGGGAGTACGTATTGTCTCCCCTATAGAATATGAGCTCCTTGAGGGTAGGGATTGATTCATTCTTAGTCTTTTTAACCCCTTTGCATGGCACTTAAGTAGGTTGTTAATAAATGTTTGTTGATTGATTTCTAATATCTATATCTATATCTATCTCCATACCCATATCTATGTATCAGTCCTCTCCTAATCCTGCATCATTTCAAAAGAGGAGATTGGGTGTGAGCTGTGTGCCGGCTTCCTATGTTTTAGCCCAGCACATAAAATCACTGTTAGCAAACATCTGCTCTTGAAGCTTGTGAAATGTTACAGGAGGAATTATTTTGGGAGGCTCCGTGTCCTCTGGAGGGTAGGTGCGGGGAGGAGATCATAAGGGGAAGAGGCTATTTATATAGCCCCTGCTGTGAAATAAGAAAGTCTGGATGGACAGCAGGTACCATGTGAGCACAGTGGTTGATGCAGTGAAAAGGATATCGGGCTGGGAAGCAGCGGAGCAGGGTTCTGGTCCCAGATCTGCCATTACTTTGCTGTGTGTCTGTGGGAAAGTCACTTGAGTCTCACTTATAAAATTATATAAAAGTATTGTATCATCCCTTTCAATGAGGCCTTTATACCTCCAATCCAACTCTTCATGGTATAGTGGATAGACCACTAGACCTGGGGTCAGTAAGACCTGAGTTCAAATCCAGCCAGAGACTTAACTAGATATGTGACTCTGAGTAAACCTCTTAGCTGCAGCCTGACTCAATTTCTTTATCTGTGAAATTAAGATAATAATCAGTACCTATCTCCCCAGATTGTTATGAGGATAAAATGAGATATTTGTAAAATGTTTGGAAACATTAAAACACTATAGAAATGTTACTGTTATTTATTATTGAGCCCCTGGAAATCAGACCCTCACTGCTGACATGCGTCTCTGCATCCTGGTCCATTTGCCTGAAGCAACTTTACCAGCTGCTTGTTAAGGCTGAGTCTACTACCGGATGGTGAAGCTTGGATTGCTTACCATTGGTTGGGCACTCATTTACTCCCCTGCTTAGGCTTCCCATGGGTCTCACAGCCATATGGCAGGTGCTACCTAGGATGGATAGAGTTTGGTCTGGTAATTGCTTGTCCCCACTGAAATGGAATGTGGGTGGGCTGTGACTAGGTCCCCTTCATAGGTGTCAGGGCCAGCCCCTTAGAATGGGATTAGGTAAGACCTAGTCAGGTGAGCTGGAGGCAGGGGCAGTGAGTGGAATCAGGGACACCTTCCTAGATCAGGATGTCAGATGGTAGATTATGTGCTAGAACTGGGTATGTGGTAGAGCAGGCATTGCCAACAGAGAGACCAAGAGGCTGGCAAACTGAAGCCAGAGATCATAATCAGAAGATCTCAGAGGAAGTGAGTTGGGCTAATAGAGGCTGCCCTCTTGGACTAACTCTTTTAATGGAGGTACTTAAGAGGAGAGTGACTCCTCCAGGGTTGTAGTTTCCTTGTTCTGGAATCCTTGGCATATAAAGACAGAGGTAGTGCCTTGTCCTTAGGGCACCCAGGGAACTCCCCCATACACTGAATTCAGATAAGAGTGATCTCCTTGGAGTATTGGGATCATTAATCTGGAGCTACAGAAGACCTTAGAGGCCACTTAATTCAACCCTTTTCTTTTTACAGATGAGGAAACTGAGGCCCTGAGAGGTTAAACATCTTGATCAAGGTCAACAAGTCCTCTGCATTTTGCCTTCTAGGGACAAGCTAAGTAAGTTTAATGCCTCTGTCCCCTAATAGTCCCTCAAATACACTGATCCTGTCTCTGCCCACTTAAAAAATTCCTGATTTTATCTAGCAGGATCCTCCCTCTGGAATGAAGATCTCAGTCCGCAGATGCTATAGAAGGTGGTTTCATGATTTGCTATGACCAAGAACATTCCCTGCTTCCTGCTTGTGGCCAAACCTTTGGTGATGGGCTTTTCCAAACTTACCTGTGCTGGTCTTAAGGTGACAGATGCACAATCCATGACCAGAGTGGAACTTGAGGTCCTTCCAGACCTTGCCAGACCTTGTGTTCTGCTGGCATTGCCTTGAGAGCTTGGTCACCTCTGTTCCAAGAGGAAGCATCAGAGAGAGAATCTTAAGTCAAGGAAAAAAATATCAAAGCAATAAAGTAGAATTAGAAGAGAAGCTTCTTATCTCTGAACTTCAAATATCAATCCCACTCCTGGGGGAGGAGCAGGGCAGATCCATGCTTTGTCCAGTAGAGAAGAGTATCTGTCTCTAAACTAGAAGAGCCTTTAACAGTCCCAGTAGCCACAAGGCAGCACCCTTCTGATGAGGCAGCGGTGAGTCTGGCCCTGATCTGGGAGTGCCATGTGATGGGAGCGCTCCAGCTCATGTTTTTGTCTCGGCTGGTTCTTTTCCAATTAAGATGAAAATAGCTGGTGTATTTATATTCATTTCTTGGACCTACAATTCATGCCCCATTTCTCAGAAGCTGCTTGCATTATCTTTTGCTGTTATCTGCTCATTTATCCTCCTGGAAACATCTATTTGTGTCTGGGATGGGTTGAGAAATGTTTCTTTACTACCTCCTCCTCCCCCTCTGAAAGCAGTGACCTACATATGCTCCTTGGGATGGGGCAGGGGAGGGTTAGGAGCTGAAAGCAATGGTGCAGAGGCAGAACAACTTTGGGCACAATCTTGACTAGGCAGGGGAGGCTGTATGAACTTCACCTTCATGGGGGTTTCAGCAGAGGATGGGGTGCCACATAAATAGGACCCTGGGTGAGGGGGGGTGTTACACATTCTCCCCTGGGGTCGGGTGTTGATGGTCCCTTCCCTGGATGTTGATACCATTGAGGCAAAGCCCACTTGCTCCAACCTAGTTACAGCTCTTGTGGGATATCTTTTGACTAATTCTTCTCTCTGTGCATGGGGAAGTATATATAAGGGCCTAGGTTGAGGGAAGGCAAAACAAGTAGAGATCATTTTCTTCTCCACTGTATGTGACCCTAGCACCCCACTTTCTATTCCCACTTCCTTCCAGTTCAGGGAGCTATAAGTATGAATCAATATCAGATCAATAGATACTCATCTGATCCTCACTTGCGTTCCCTCACTGATGAGTACCCTGGGCTTCAAGCAGGCTGATCTTTGGTTTTCCCTCCCAGGTGATTAAGGGTCTCAACAGCTGGACCAGGGGAGGGGAACCTGCAGCCTCGACGCCACATGTGGCCTTCTAGGTCCTCAGATGCAGCCTTTTGACTGAGTCCAAGTTTCACAGAACAAAACTTTATTAAAGGAATTTGTTCTGTGAAGTTTGGATTCAGTCGAAGCGCTGCACTTGAGGACCTAGAGGGCCACATGTGACCTCGAGGCTGCAGGTTCCTGCAGTGCTTAGAAAGTGGCTCATATGACCATCCCATGCTGGGAGTAGGGAGAGCTAGAGAGAAGTCATTGGTTTTTCGGGTTTGTGGGGGAGCGATTAGAACAGTCTGTCTGTGTCTAGCAGGGTTTGTGGTTGATAGCCTAGCTTTAGAGATTCTTTGTGGGACTGCCAAGTGTTCTCAGACCCACTGACCAACGTATTGACAGCTGTTCAGTCAGCACTATGCTTTTAGATCAGCCTGCCCTGCTGATACTAGAATGGCTGCTGCCTGGTTAATGGGGGATTGATGCGGCTGGGACTGGGTGATCTTGGCACCGGACAAACAGGTCAGTAGCTTCTTTCGATGAAATGCTCGCTATAGATAGGACTTTCATGTTGGCAATTGTGTTTGGAAAATTCCAGAAGTGTCTCTGTTGTTATTAATGATAGTAAGAGCCCATATGTAGATAGGGCTTTTCACTTTTGCAAAGTACATTATTTCATGTGATCCTCACAATAACCCTGTGAAGTCAGTGGTATTATTATTTCAGTTTTACATTTGGAGAAACTGAGGCTCAGAGAAGTGCAATCAGCCACCCAATGTCACCAAGCTCACATCACATGGGGATGTTAAAGTTGCCTGGGACAAAGTAGAACAGACACGTTTATTGACACAAAATGATCCGCACAACTGTTGACATCTGTGCAAAACTGGTAAGAAGCAGTATGTCTCTTTTGATAGCAAACATTTGCTTCACTTGATCTGGCATTGAGTTCAGAAGATTCTGACGCGTCTTCCTTTATTCTTCATATTCATCAGAGCTTTGTATCCTTTCAAATGTGATATAACAATTTGTCGTTCAGTCATGTCTGACTCTTCGTGATCCCATTTGGGAGTTTCTTGGCAAAGGTACTGGAGTGGTTTGCCATGTCCTTTTCCGGCTCATTTTACAGATGAGGAAACTGAGGCAAACAGGGTTAAGTGACTTGCCCAGGGTCACACAGCTAGTAAGTGTCTGAGGCCAGATTGGAACTCAGGAAGATGAGTTTTCCTGACTTCAGGCCCAGTGCTCTATCCACTGTGCCACCTGGCTGCCCCATAATATAATAGTAGCTACCATTACATATCATGTTACGATTTTAAAGGACTTTGCTTATGTTATCTCACTGGATCATATTATTGTCACTGAATACATTGGTCTCCTGGTTCTTGTCCTTTCACTTTGCATCTGTTCATAGAAGTCTTCCCATGCCCTGGGCTCCTTTCACCACCTTACACTCCCCTAGTAGATTCTACCACTATCTCCTAAATTGTAGTTCACAGAGAACCCATCCATATATTTTGAAAATTGTTTTATGACCTGTTTAAAGGTATTCTAAAAGTTATGTTTAATTATAACTTAGATTTGCAGCCAGGAGTGTTAAAACAAGAGTCTCAGGTATTTGACCTGGTCTGATGGTTGCTATGGAAATGACTGAATGAAAATTAATCAGTAAATGCCCAGCAGCTAGATGTGCTCAATGAAGGGAGAAAGCATTATTTAGGCTAAGAGATGAGAGAAGGAGGGGAAAAGGGAAAGGGACTTACAAACTTATCAGAATCTCTCCTTTGCCTTGAAAAGGATGGAATTTATATTTTAAATTAAAATGAACATTTTAAAGTAGATACCTCCCAAACCTAGCAACCTTTCTGGATCCACCAAGCGGTGTTAGAATAGGAAGGGTGTTTCCTCCTCTGGGGCTAGGGGTTGGGAGAGACTTTTTCATCCTGCCCAGTTATCTTTGTTAGAATCAGAGCCCTTTGTTTGGGGAGTTCAGGATTGCTGAAGAGGAAAGTCTATGGGGGCTTTTGAAGAGCAATATTAGAATATTACAAATACTCTAATTACAAATATTCCAAACAATTACAAATATTAGAATTTGTGAGTTGAAAGGAACATTTACCTTTGGGGAGAAATTAAGCAATGAGTGGTGCCAGTTAAGTATTAGTGAGAAAGGTATCCTAATTGTACCTACTTTGCTTTGCTACAAATATATGAACTGAGTAAATGATGTTTGGAACTCCCAGTATGGAAATTACTTCTAATAAAACAGATCAGCCCCTGCTCTGAAGTATAATTTTGAAGAGTTGGAGTGGGGGTGGCAGCACTGAGCTTAAGGATCACACAGGGTCACACAGACAGTGATGTCAGATGCAACACTTGGCCCTAGGTCTTCCTGTCTCTTGAAGTGTCAAACCATTGGAAGGGCTGCATTGGGGCCAGTAAAACTCCAGAGCATAGCCAGAACCAGATTAAAATGTAATTGGGAAATGTTTAATAAAATAAATAAAATACAATACAGCACCAATAATGATAATTTGTGGTTTTCTAAGTTAGTCTACAGCCTGCGTGGATCAGTTCCACAGAGAAAGCATAAATGAATTATTCTCTTTGGCTCAGTTAACCATAACTATGGAAGGCGACAAGGTCATGCCCAAGATAATACTATCCACTTGATGACAGTTTATTCTGACTGCAGTATGATGATGTGGGAAGATAAAAATATCCTCTAATGTGCTAGGTTTACAAACTAAAAGTAAAGAGTGATGCCAAAGGTTATATAAATCAAGACATATTTGGAAGTCAGGCAAAGGACAGATGGAGATTTCTTGTGTCTTGATTCCTACCCTTTGGTTGGATATTTCTAGAATCACTGTTGTTTCCTAGATTTGGTGCTTATCATTTGTGGGAAAATGTCTGTTTTGCTTGGTGGAACAGGAGATAGAATGTAGGACCTAGAGTTGGGAAGACCAAAATTAAAATCTGGCCTGATACTAGCAGTGTGACCCTGGGCAAGTCACTTAACCTCAGCCTGCCTCAGTTTCCTTATTTGTAAAATAAGGATAACATTAGCATAGGCAGCTGGGTGGTATAATGGATAAAGTACTAGGTCTGGATTCAGGAAGACCTGAGTTCAAATCCAGCTTCATACATTTACTAGCTGTGTGATCTTGTTGAGTCACTTAAACTCTGTTTACCTCAGTTTTCTCAAGTATAAAACCTACCTCATAGGGTTGTTGTGAGGCTAGAATGGGATAATATTTGTAAAGCATTTAGCATAGTTTCTAGAATGTTTTCAGTTGTGTCTGACTCTTTGTGACCCCATTTGGGGTTTTCATGGCAAAGATATGGAGTAGTTTGCCATTTCCTTCTCCAGATTATTTTGCATATGAGGAAACTGGGGCAAACGAGGTTAAATGATTTGCCCAGGACCACATGGCTAGTAGGTATCTGAGGCCAGAGTTGAACTCATGAAGATGAGTCTTCATGATTCCAAGCTGAGTGCTCTATCCACTGTGCCACCTAGCTGCCTAGCACATAGCGGGCACTTAATAGGTGCTTTTTGCCCTTTCTAATTTTCCAAATTAGATGTTTGTTATTTGAGGAGATCAGCCTAGCATGGAGAAAATGATTAAATGTTTTATTCCACCCAGTTATTTTCTCCAACAAAGTCTCCTTTCAGTTCTCCAATAGTCTCTGATATTAACCCCAGGGTTACTCAGCAGCAACATCTGACTCTAATTCTAACATCTTGGATTCCTCTGCTATCTTTCTTCTTCAGAACTCAAATTGTATTCATGTCTGCGCTTATCCCTTTGGAGGCAGGGGAGTTCTAGGGTTACTAACCACATTTTCTAGAGGTAGAAACTGAGGCCTAGAGATGTGAGATGACTTGTTCCCCAGCAGCAGTTCAGCAATTAGATCCTATGTTCCTTTAAGTACCCTGGACAGCGAGAGGCTCTTTTATCATCTTGGAGTTACTGCCAGTGTGATGACTGGCTCCCAAGTGTTCCAGCATGAAGCTAGGGCTTCTGCTAGACCCCATTCCCCCTGCCCTTGTGTGTGACACGGGGGGAGCCAGCTCTTTCTGAGATTCTAACTGTTCAGTTATCTGAAAGCCTGAAGAGTGTGGTGGAAAGAATGTAAGACTTGGGGTCTGGTGAGTTAGGATCTAGTCTCAGCTCTACCATTTATTCTCTATATGACCTT